TGCTCCGTCTTTCCCGCAATGCCGCTAATGGTTTGTGCCTGCCATGGCGGCAGCGTTGAGAGGGGGTCGCATTGAGAAGCTCTGAAATGATCCACTTTAATGTCAACTGGAAACGAGTACCATATGTTGAGCATCACTTCTAGAGACAATTGCTCTGGACGGAGTTTAACGCTTCCTGTGGTTGGTGCATTTCTATTGCCAGTGGCAGAGTATGCAAATGAGACGATTCCGCTGCATTGTGGGAAGTCGTCAGATTAAAGGGTTAGTCCAACTTGACGTGATGGAGAAGTAAAGCAGCGAAATTGTTGACGACTTGTTCTTTGCTGACTCGGCTGCGTATTTTCATGGATCTGCCTGTTGCACTTTTTTCACACCATTGTATCTTCTGATTTCTCATACACCAGAAATACATTTGTTGCATCGCTAACAACACAAATCAGTGTTTTGCAGCAATATATAGCATACATGTTGTGTTACCATATCGGCAGACGACATTTTTGCATACATCAGTGACCGGGAGAAACGTGATGTGTACAAATAGATTTTACCTCCTCATTTGCGAATTTCCTAAAACGGAAACGAGATCTTTTGTGTTTTGACTTCGCTACAAAGCGGAAGTGTTGTGGCAGGCAATGGGACGATCCCTGCCTTAACCCTTCATTGGGACTGCTACAGTCCCTTTAGGTGACAGGACTGTGTTGCAAGGCCATATGGAGGTCAGGGTGATAACCCAGCATGGGGATTGTTCAAGGATCCGTCTATGGGGGCTTCCCATTCATTATAGCATGCAGGGATTTTCCTAAAATTGTATGATAGGGCTTCTTGCAGGAGAAGAGATGAAGCCTGATTTAGAAAAATAAATTTCCTAATTAGCCGTTTTGAGCTTTGGCTAATTAGGAAATTGTTTAAAGCTTTACTTTTTTTTTTTTTTTTTTTTTTTTTTTTTTTAATTTGATGGGGATTTCCCTTAATTTCCTGTCCTGAAGACCTAACCAGAAATCTCTACAAATTGCAGGAATTTTCCTCTTGGATAGTCAGTGGAACAGGTGTTCCCATTGGAAGATCTTTCCCTCCATTCTTGTTCTAGTGACAGCTGTAACATTTGGGTTTTTTTATTATTTCAGTCTATCTCCCCAATACTACTTACCAGGGCAAATATAGAAATTGTGAATCTCCTCATAGGGGACACTGACTTCAATAAAAACTTCAGACGTTTCAGCTGTTCCATGCCCACAAGCCATGACAGCAGGTTCAATGATGGCAAATCTCCCCTCCTGCCATTCCCAGCAAGACATTTACTCTGCTACTTGTTGCTGTATTGTAATCATGGTCCAACCTGGGCTCAGAAGATGTGGGCTGAATGATGCTGCCATTAGACTGAGGACATCTACTGGGTGAAAAAGTACCGCGGAGGAAATAAAAAGTAAATATTGCAAAAAAAATAGAACCTGGTTTTGTGGTTTTCTTTGATGGACTTTTCATTTTTATCTTGTTTTGGCTGGAGTTCTGCTTTAGGAATCAGCAGCTCTGTTCTACTGCTGTTGAGTGCTCTGGCCATAGGTTATGCGATTTTCTATCCTTCAATCACAGGTTGAAGTAAAGAAAATTGCTCAATTTCCCCATCAACACATTCACTGTTGTTGAGGGAATCCCTCCCGCAGTGCTATTGTATTCTGCCAGCAGGAGGTTTCCCTGCCATCAGAATACAATGATCAGTGCTGGTAGCTATAGCAAGTGGCTGTGACCGTACACAAAATCCCGACAGACTGGTTATACTGAAGTCAAATCGATAGATTTCAGCCTCCCCATAGATGGATTGAATTTCATCCAGTTCCATCCATGGCCGGCTTTAACCACTTCAATACCGGGCACTTCCACCCCCTTCCTGCCGAGGCTAATTTTCAGCTTTCAGCGCTGCCGCACTTTGAATGGTATTTGAATGGCGCGGTCATGCAACACTGTACCCAAATGGAATTTGTATTTTTTTTTTCACACAAATAGAACTTTCTTTTGGTGGTATTTAATCACTACTGGGTTTTTTATTCTTTGCTAAATAAGCAAAAATAGACCAAAAAATTTTGAACCCCACACACACTTTTTTCTTTCTTTTATAAAATTTTGCTAAACAGTGGTTATAAAGCTTTTTTTGTTTGTTTAAAATAATAATCATGTCATGCTTACCTGCTCTGTGCAGTGGTTATGCACAGAGCAGCCTTGATCCCACTCTTCTTGGGTCACCTCCGGTGCTCCCTGCTGAGTCCCCCCAGAGCAAGCTGCTCACTCTGGGGGCATTAGTGTGTGCTCACTCCTGAGCCGCCTCTGTGATAGCAGCGGGAGCCAATGGCTCCCGCTGCTGTGCCCCAGCCAGTGAGGAAAGAGTGACGTGGGAGAGCCTTGGCTCTCGTGCACATCGCTGGATCGGGTAAGTATTAGGGGGCTGAGGGGGGGAGCTGGACACACAAGGTTTCATGTCTCGATTGCTTGATGGTAAAATACCTTCTGCGTTTACAACCACTTTACTCTCCCCACTAATGTTGATGCCCCCCCAGCTCTGATGTATGCAAACTCCCCCAACCTGCTGTGATGCCATCTCTTCCTATCTGGCTTCTGCCATGTTTACACTCCCCCTACACAATACAAGGTGAGCAAATCCTATTATCCTCCCTGGCATGGGTCACTTCCTTTTCAGCACCCCCTGTGACCCTGTGTGACTAGGTCTGCTGGAAGCTTTAATAGCCATTGATGGTAATTTACAGCCAGTCACCTCATTGTCTTAGAGGCCTCTCCCAGGCATTCACACTTCACAGAATGTAAGATGATCCCTTTCATTCATTCATCCTATTTACTTTTAAGTCCAGGTATTCAGCTACCATAGCACAGCGTGATTAATTAGATTAATTAGAACCAGTCAATGGGGTTTTTTTCCAGGTCAGATGGAATGTTTGTTAAATGAGCCCCAGATATTATTATTATTATACAGGATTTATATAGCGCCAACAGTTTGCTCAGCGCTTTACAATATAACGGGAGACAATACAGCAACAATACAGTTCAATACAAGAGGGATAGGAGGGCCTGATCCTCGGAGCTTACAATCAGTTGAACTGACACATGCATGTATTGAAATCAGGATGGAGTTTATTGGGGTAATGGTTTCATTTATTGATCTTTCTAAATAGAGAGACAGGTGAGTATTGTGGGAGGAGGAGTGAAGAAATGTCATGGCTGAACTGCCTTGGAAATAGAAGACTATAGTGACAGTGTGAGTGGTCAGCATTGGTTGAAGCTGCATCTGTGTGAGGTCACACTTACATTTGGATTTCCTCATACTGATGGATGAAGTAGAAATGTCTCCTTCCTGTTATGTTCTTGGCCATTTACTCTTCCTGCCTAATGGATTAGTGACGTCGTGGCGTGTTGGCGGTCACTCCGCTGGAATGTGGACTTTGCTCTGCAGTCACTTTGCTCCACCCGTTTACCTGTCGGAGATCAGGGTGAAAATGACTGGTTTACACTGATTACAGACTTGTGTTTTCTTCTCTATAATTGAGGTTAATCCTTAAAGTGGTTGTAAAGCAATCTTGGGTTTTTTTTTTTTTTTTTGTTTTTTTTTAAGCAAATATGGGATACTTAACTGCATAGTGCAATGGTTTTGCACAGAGCAGCCCGATCCTCCTCTTTAGGGGTCCTCTGTTGGCGCTCCTGACTCCTTCCCTTGCTTAGCGCCCCCATAGTAAGTGGCTCTGTATATCCATAGCCCCACTATCTAGCTCCTTTTGATTCTTCGGTAGGGCGATGTTGGACGGGAGATGGCTGACAGGGCCACCCACTAAGCAAATTTCATCCAGTTCATTAGTAACCGACTAAAGTTCACTCTGTGTGTGGGGTGCGTCATTTATTTCTGGCTTAAACCTTAAAGTGTAAAGACTTGAAGGTGTTTTACCTTCATGCATTCTATGTATGAAGGTAAAAAATGTTTTATGTGCAGCATTTCCCAGCTAACCCCCAATACTCACCTAAGCCCCCTCTCGATCCAGTGATGTGCACTGGAGTCTTTGCTATCCCGGGACTCCCTCTTCTCATTGGCTGGGACAGCAGTGGAAGCCATTGGCTCCTCCTGCTGCTGTCAGTCACTACAAGTGAGCCAATGGGAAGAGAAGTGGCGGGGCTGAGCTGTGGCTCCATGTGTGAATGGACACATGGAGCAGCAGGTGCCCCCTTAGCAAGTTGCTTTCTGCGGGGGCACCTGACAGGAGGGAGAAGCCAGGAGAGCCTGCTGGGCACCCAAGAAGAGGAAGATCCAGGCTGCCCTGTGCAAAACCACTGCACACAGCAGGTAAGTATAGACATGTTTGTTTTATTAAATTATGCCTTTAGAATCACCTTAAAGAAACAAAACTGGTCACATTGGTAAATGAGGCCTTGTCAGCCTTTATCTGAGTTGCTACAGGTGGAGGCGGATTACTTTTTTGGTGCCTCCACAGACACGCAGGTGCTGGCCCGATCTGTGATCACAGATGCAATGGAAAAAGAGAATAGTTGGCGGCACAAACAGCAATGTGGTGGATGAAATCCTTTATTGGAATCCTTTTACATTGAATATGATAAGTAAATGACCGCTCCAAGAAAGGGTTGAGGAGCGGAAGACGCGTTTCACACATGCTTAGTCACTAGTATTACTATTAATGACTTAGGACGTGTTCGTGTGAAACGCATCTTCTGCTCCTCAACCCTTTCTTGGAGCGGTCATTTACTTATCATATTCAATGTAAAAGGATTCCAATAAAGGATTTCATCCACCACATTGCTGTGTTTGCGGCCAACCATTCTGCTTTCCATTGCAACTGGAGTCATGAAGGTTCCTTGTTCCATGGAGGACTTTTGTCAGTTCTGTTTTGTATTGGTTAAAAAAGAGGCATATTTTGTAAATGTTCCCAATGATAACAATGACCTCAGCAATCTACTAATGAATCCCCTTGTTATGTCTTGCCTTGACTATTGCAGCTCCCCTCCCTATTGGCGTACCTCTACAGACTATCCCCCCTCTTCAGTCTGTCATAAACACTGCTAACAGACTCATCCACCTTACCAACCGTCCAGTGTCCTCCACCCCTCTCTGCCAATCCCTCCACTCAGTGTCCTCCACCCCTCTCTGCCAATCCCTCCACTCGGTGTCCTCCACCCCTCTCTGCCAATCCCTCCACTCAGTGTCCTCCACCCCTCTCTGCCATTCCCTCCACTCAGTGTCCTCCACCCCTCTCTGCCAATCCCTCCACTCAGTGTCCTCCACCCCTCTCTGCCAATCCCTCCACTCAGTGTCCTCCACCCCTCTCTGCCAATCCCTCCACTCAGTGTCCTCCACCCCTCTCTGCCAATCCCTCCACTGGTTCCCAATTGCCTACGACATATCATTTCGAATATTCACAACATATAATGCCGTCCACAACTCTACCCCAAGCTACATCACAAACCTAATCTCACAATATGGTTCAGGCTGAACTTTCTGTTCTTCTCAGGACCTTCTGCACTCATTGCTCACTCATCACCTATTTCTGGGCTTGCCACCAGAACTTCTCCAGAGCCTCTCCTATCCTGTATTAAATCACTTACCTCTTCCTGTTAAGATTGTGTGCTCTTGTGAGCAAAGTCCAGCGAGCCCTTTTGTCTTGATTAGTATTGTAAAGGTGGCCACGCACAGCAACTTTTGGCTGGTTCCAGTCATGAGCGGCCCTGTCAGTATCCTTCCACCTAACATCCTTCATTCTAAAAACTGAACTAGCGGGTGGGAAATTGGGTGCAGCCACTGTCCGGCTGACAAGCAGATGCAGCCACTGTTTGGGGATTCTGACAGGCACGGATGCCAGCTGTCAGAACACAATAACGGGCAGGAGAGGATGGTGTGTCAACAGTGTTTAGCATGGATGTTGGAATTGATTTCTCTTTTTCTGTCCCCTGCAAAATCTTTGTGTGTGGCCAACTTAACTGTACTGTCATTTGTTATATTGTACACAAACTGTTGCTATATAAATCCTGTATGTTAATAGAATTGTCATTGAGCATAATTGCATTGATGTGAAATTGTTTTCAGTCGGCCCAATAAGACTCGACCCGTGTTGTCCTGTGTAGTGCTGTTTGTCCTCACTTGTCTCTTCTTGGTTCTCTCTGCACCCGCAGAAGGCTGCCTATGCCTGTTGAATTAGTCTAATTGATGAAGTCTCTGATCCAGTTGATGCAGGCGGATGGGAATGGCCCCTGTCAGCACAAGGGGGGGGGGGGGGGTGCACACCGGCCTGCGTCTGAGACAGAGTATGATTTAAAGAGCAATTTGATTCAAAACCCATTTTGTTGTTTGAATGCTGAGCATCTGATCAAGCTAACTGCATCTCTTCTCTCTCAAGAACCACAATGGAGGAATCTTTCGGCTTGAGGTTCATGGTCTGCATCTGCCTCCACCAGGAGTGGACTGACAACTCATGGGCCCCCGGGCAATAGGGGATCATGGGGCCCCTGTGTACTTGCCCAAACTCAAAAAAGCCTATGAAAAAGGTACCAGGGGCATCTCATGGGGCCCCCTACTGACCCCGGGCCCTCAGGCAGTGCCCAAGTTTCCAAATGGTCAGTCCGCCCCTGGCCTCCACCATTGCCCCTGCTTTTCCCTGCAGAGCTTTTCATCCATTTTTGTAATTTGTAGAATTTAGGAGAGGTGAGAACACCCTACAGAGGTGGAAACAGAGATGGGGTTGATGTCCCCTCATAAGTCAGCAAATGATATTCAAGGCCAATCTGTCTCTACCCAGCAGACGCCATCTGTATCTGAAAATGACCATTGTCATTTACTAGTTTGCCTTTTGTTCTATCTGCAGCTTTTGTTCCACCTGGGTTTTCATTAGTAGATTACTCATATGGTGTGAGAACATTCTGATTAGTGGATTGTTTTTAAGAATGAACATTTTGTAGCAGCCTGTCATTCACATGTAAAATGGACCTTCACACCGTGAGGGAGCCCGGTTACAGTGAGTGATGACATTCTTGTATTAGTAAAATCAAGCGGTGTGTAATGAAATGAGTACATCTATGCTTGGAGGAGAACAACACTTTAAGCCCCGGTTCATATATATGCGGCCGTGTGGGCCACGTTTTGCGTGGGCACTAGAGCTGATTAATTTGAATGGATTCCTGTGCCCCATGACACGCAGAGAAGTCCCTGCACTTCTGAAACCGCAGAACGGTTGCGCTTTCAAGTGTGGGTGGCGTGCCATTAGAGCTAATGGCACCCGCCCGCGGCCCGTATTCCTCTGTGCAGGTGCTGCGGCTGCACGGATTTTTGTGCGGATCTGCAGTGGCACCACCCGCACAGCTGTGAACCTAGCCTTATGCAGGCCATAGATGGGTCATTTATCGGCCGAATTTTTGTCTGCACAAAAAATCGGCTGATAATCACGCCGTTAGTGGTGCCTGCCCATCGGCCGTTTTTCGCAGATTTCCTCATTTATTTTTTTCGGTCATGCTGGAAAAACCGCAAAAAACGGCCGTTTTTTTGTGGACATGGGTGCCAGCATCGGCAATGGGGTTGACCAATTTTTCGTTTATCAGCCTTCCTTGGGGTCCATGTACACTGAGCTTTAAAATATGTTTTCCTGTAGAAGAATCTCATTGTTATCCTATGTGTCCATTAGGATGTTAGAGGCATATTATGAGCTCAGCATTTAGAGGCAGAAAATAACATTCTGGTTTGCATTTTTCAGACGTTTTCTGGCAGAAGAAAATGCTGAACGCTCCTAAACACCTGTAGAAAAGCCCTCTATATGAGCATTTTTGTCTTCCAATGGCACTGATGTTTTTTTTTGTTTTTTTTGTTTTTTTTTTTTAAGTCCAGTATGCATGGACCCTGAGTGATGGTTCACATATATGCGGATTGAACGGCATCCAATTCTGCATGATGTCAAGTAACTTTTTTCCTATGGTGCCTGTTCACATGCAGTATGTCCGGTGCACTGCCAGTGTGGATTGAAAAAAGAGTCCTGTACGATTTCTGAGCAGTGCGGTCTGGTTCAGGTGCAGATTACAGGCTGTGGACTTCTATGGGAACTGCTTCTAAACTGCACCAGTTGTGATCGGATAAAATCCTGACCTGAACAGTTACTGTATCAATTGGCTGTAAAACCTGAGCTTCAATCGGCACCGTACATGTGTGAATCAGCACTGAGCCCTGGTTCACACTAATGCGGTGCGGGAAATGCAGCGAATCCTATGTGTTTCCTGCATTGCAATCACACGGTGATCTGGTACGGGCGACAATGTTAAATTAAAGACACCTTAAAACAGCAAAATGTAGTGCGATTACTAGAATTTGCATGAAATGGGTGTTAACACTATGGGATGCGAATCAGGTGCGGGGGGAAAAAAAGGGTCCTGCATCTTTTTGGTGTGGATGCAGAATGTATGGCTCAAATCGCACCACACAGACATCACACTTGATTTACGCAGGAATGCGGTGCGTTTTCTGCAAATCACATGCAGTGTGCCGCACCACATTAGTGTGAACCAGGGCTTAATGTCATGTTGATCATCTCACTTTATTTCTCACACATGAATGGTTAAAAGAAAACATTCCAGTTAGGAGCTTTTGGAGAAGTTCCACCTTTTTATCATTAAACACCTGTCCTTGAGATCCAGTCAATGACTTTACCTAGGCTTCTACTGTATGTCATCAGATTGCTGCAGGCAGGAGGAAGAATCTTCTCATCTCCGTGATCAGACTACAACTTTGTAGCAAGTCACAAGGTGAATGGATGTCACAGAAGGTGGTCTCTGTTAGGCTACATTCACATCAGTGATTTAGGTTGGCACAAATTGAGGTGGCAGGAATCTTGTGATTTCTACTGGTGCTGCAGGTATCTAGGTATGACCACCAGCCCCATTTACTATGGCAGGTTGCCGACGGCCGCAGCTTTTCACAACTGTCTGCACAGCTAGTGATTACCTGCGGGGATTGCTGCTGGATGCAAACCACTGGCTTCCAGCAGCCATCACCACAGGAAATGTCTAGCTGTGCGGAGAGCCGGGAATATCTGTGGCCGCCGGTGACCTGTGGTTATAGTGAATGGGGCCAGTGGCCTAGCCACTCAACAGCAGCAGCCTAAATAGAATATGTAAGTATAGCCTTAGAGCGATATTAAAGGCAATTTTTTTTTTTTGTGCTTTTTTTAAATAACAAACAAGTTATACTTTCCTGCTCTGTGTAATGGTTTTGCACAGAGCAGCCCCGATTCTCCTTTTCTTGGGTAACCCGCTGATCCTTCAGGCTCCTCTCTCCTGCTGATTTCCCCAGAGCAAGCAGCTTGCTATGGGGGCACCAAAGCAGGCTCACTCGACTTGCTGCTCTGCTTATCCAGTCTCACACACAGCCAGGTCTTGGCCCTGACCCCTCTCTCTCCTCATTGGCTCACTGTGATTGACAGCAGCGGGAGCCAATGAGGAGGGAAAGTCCCCAGACAGCCGAGGCTCTCATGCAAATCACTGGATCGCGAGAGGGCTTAGGTAAGAATTAGGGGGAGCTGTTGCAAAAGTATTTTACTTTTCTTGAACCTTTACAACAATTTTAAGCTGACCTTACATTAATCCGTCTGTATAACCAGCCTGCTCATACATGAATCAAAATGACCTGGTCTCTGCTGACCTGGCTGAATGTCGATCCATGTATGGCTGCCCTAAGAGATTTCACAAGATTGAGTCATCTCTGCCCTATATCTGTCCAGGAAGCGGATAGTGACCCCGGATGATGTCTAAGCAAAGCTGGTGCCATCCTTCTGGAGAGAAAGCATGTAAAGGCATTGTTGGGGGAAGTGCTGTGGTCTCTGTGAGTTGATATTCAGCATGCTACATTTAACATGAAAAAATATATCTGATGACTGATTCACTTTCAGGAGAATTGCTGTCCTGTGACGACAATGCAGATTGAAGACAGAGACTCGGCCACAGCTGGGCAATTGACATCTTCTAAAGGAGGCAGCTCCTGTGTACTTGCTGGGGGTTGTAGTCCTCCATGTAACAATCAGCTGGTTTCCCCAGTACTAGGGAGAGGTGGCTGGGATCTGATAAATCGTTAGCCTGCACGGTGAGGTTTTTATGGCCACTGTTCTCCCGCATGTCCGGACCTCATTTCTGGCGTCTGTTTGCTTAGCAGATCTGTAGAGAGAGCAAACTCAGCGATTCTATTCAAATGAAGTGGAGCTAACAATTCTCCATCCTGTCCATCCAGACCCCGGGGCTAAATTCACTTTGAGCGGCTATTAAGTGTTCTGCCATATAGCCGGTCCCCTGGCACTACTGCGCTGAACGGCCAAACGATTGAATAGTCAACAAAGTTTT